CTATTCTATTCTATTCTATTCTATTCCTATTTCTATTCTATTCCTATTCTATTCTATTCTATTCATTTCTATTCTATTCTTTTTCTATTCTATTCTATTCCTATTATCTATTCTATTCTATTCCATATTCTGTTCTGTTCTGTTCTATTCTATTCTATTCTATTCTATTCATTTCTATTCATTTCTATTCTATTCTATTTTTTTTCTATTCTATTCTATTCTATTCATTTCTATTCTATTCCTATTATCTATTCTATTCTATTCCTATTATCTATTCTATTCTATTCTATTCTATTCTATTCTATTCTATTCCTATTATCTATTCTATTCTATTCTATTCCTATTATCTATTCTATTCTATTCCTATTTCTATTCTATTCCTATTTCTATTCTATTCCTATTTCTATTCTATTCTATTCATTTCTATTCTATTCTTTTTCTATTCTATTCTATTCTATTCTATTCTATTCTATTCTATTCTATTCTATTCTATTCTATTCTATTCTATTCTATTCTATTCTATTCTATTCTAATCCATTCCATTCCATTCCATTCCATTCCATTCCATAATTCTATTCTATTCTCTATATTTTACCTGCCATTCTATTCTATTCTAATTTGAGAAGAGCGTCAGATCGGGAGGTGCTAAAGGCGCACACACACGCACACAGTCACAGCAAGCAGAGGAAGCCACGGGAAGTCACTGGTGTCTCCACTTCCTTGCAGAAAACTTTTCCTGGAGCCATCCAGGTTCTCCTGCTGGTGGCGGAGAAAGAGGCCGCCTCTCAGGTGGAGAAGTTCCTCGGCTTACAGGTAAGCTCTGACCATCCACTCCTCCGCCTGAATCTGGGTCTCCTTGTGATGATGTTGCACTGCCCAAATGTCCTCCATCCCAAAACAACCGCAGGGCCGTAGGCTGCGTGCAAGGGGGGGGCGTTATGAGGCTTAACCTGGATTTTCCTCTGTGTGCAAGGCCACGGGTGGGAGTCAGGCCAGTTCAGACCGGTTCAGGCGACCCGGTTGTTCAGGTGATCATTTGGCCCCGTCCACCTGCCCCTGCCCTAGTCTGTCCTGTATTGCTGTGTTTTGCAGCTCAGCTAATTGCGCCAATCAGCTGTTGTACTCCCCGGGGCTGCAGTAGAACAGGGCTCTTCAATCTTGGCTACTGGTGGACTTCAACTCCCAGAATCCCCCAGCCAGCAAACGCCGCTTTAGACTTCCTGTTGTTGTGTGGCTGGCTGAGGAATCCTGGGAGTTGAAGTCCATCAGTCTTAAAGCGTCCAAGGTTGGAGACCCCTGCAATAGAAGGTAAGTTTTAGAGCTGAAAATGGGCTCACCGAACCAGTTGTTACCACCGGTTGAATCCCACCACTGATTAATACCGCTTTAGAAAGCTTTAGAAAGGCCACACCTGGAATACTACATCCAGTTTTGGGCACCCCACTTAAAAAAAAAAAACAGTAGATGTTGGGACTTTTGGAAAAAGTGCCAAGGAAAAAAGCAACGAATGCAATTAAGGATCTGGAGACAGAAATATATGAAAGGACTATTGCAGATGGAGTACGTCTAGTTTGATGAAAAGAAGGACTAGGAGTAACATGATAGCAGGGTTCCAATATTTGAAGGGAGGAAGGGATCAAGGTATTCTCCAAAGCACCTGAAAGGCAGGACAAGGAGCAACGGATGGAAACTAATCAAGGAGAGAAGCGGGAATTATCTGACAGTTAGAACAATTAATCAGGGGAACTACTTTCCACCAGAAGTTGTAGGTACTCAGACACTGGAGGTTTTTAGAAAAAGATTGGACAGCCATTTGTCTGAAATGGTATAGGCTTGTGCCGGGGGTTGGACTAGAAGACCTCCAAGGTCCCTCTTACCTGATACATACAGTAAAGATTTGAAATACCTGATTGTAAATGTATTAACAGCGGCTAGGATTGTATTTGCTAAAAACTGGAAAAATGAGAAAATACCATTGCATGAAGAAATTATTAAGAAAATATTGGAGTGTGCTGAGATGAGTAGATTGACATTTGAAATTAGAGAACAAGAGGATAAACAATTTTGTGAAATTTGGGATCTTTTCTATAGATGGTTGGATGATAAAACATAATAAATAGAATATTTAGAATCTTAGATAATGATGAATATATAAAGAGACATTTTTTCTTCTCTATTTGATATTATAATGTTTTTAGGATAGATCTGGTATGATTATATGATTTGCTATTAAATAAATTAAGTAAATTATAGCTATCTCGTAAAGCATGAATGAATAAAATTAGAGTCAAATGATTGTTTAATAGTGATACTAGGGTATATAATTTTTGATTGATAATATGAGTCATTATGTAATGTAACTGTAATTGAGACTACAAAATGGATGCACAAAAAAATTGGTAAACCAACCGACACACTGTTTGTATACTTATGGAAAGTTGGATGTTTTTACGTTTTGTTTGTTTTGTTTGTTTTTAAAAACTAAAAAAACTTTTTTTAAAAAAAAAAAAAAAAAGACCTCCAAGGTCCCTTCCAACTGTATTCTGACAAACTGTGAGGTGCCCCGCCCCACGCATGCACGTGCATCTCCTGTGCATTTCTCATGCATGCAGGGCTTGTTAAATGTTACCTATTCATTAAATTTTATCACATTTACAGAACACCTTTACAGCCGTTTGCAGCGGCCTGTGGTCCCATGACTGCATTTTATGAGATTTTTGCCAAAAACCATCACGTTCTCCTGGTTTTTTTTTCGCCAAACAGCACCAGAATGAAAAGTGGCTTTACTTAACGACTGCGGTGTCCTCTTTAACGACTATGGAGTTCACACTTATGACCACCGCATTCGCTTCACAACGCCAGCAAAACACATTGTGAAAAACCGTGTCGGTCATGTGACCGACCTGTTTTACGGCGGTTGGGATTTATGACCATCCTGGGCAGGCTGAGTTATGGTCGTAACTCAAGGACTGCTGTACATTTCCCAGGACGGCAGCCGTTATGGGAAACCAAGTGGTCCGGATGGAGGCAGAGAAGTGTGAATTTCTACCTGAACAAGCAACAATTAAGCCATTTTTCAAAAACTGTGACAGGCTCATTTCTAACCAGGTTGCAGGTAATCAAATTATTAGATTAAGGCTGAACTTCGCCCCCCCTCCCCCCACGGCAGGACCAGGGGTGGCCTTTAACCAGGGGTGGGATTCATTTTTTTAACAACCGGTTCTGTGGGCATGGCTTAGTTGGTGGGCGTGGCTTGGTGGTCATGTTATTGGCTGGGCGTGGCCAACTCAACATCACTCACATTGAGGCATGCATCTCCTCTCCTGGCCTCATGACTGTGGGGATGCTGCAACAGTCGTAAGCGTGAAAAATGGTCATAAATCACTTTTGTCAGTGCCACTGTAACTTTGAATGGTCCCTCCACACAAGCAAAGTACCAGCAAAGGAGGGGAAAAAAACTCCAGAGAAGTTCCTGAGACAGGAAGTCTAGTCCTGTCAAGAACGTAATAAGGGTTAATGGAGAGGCAGTTTCTGTAAGCGACACCAGAATGTTTCCTTCCTGCCTTCCTTACAGGATTAGGCCAGTAATTTCTTCTAACAACCGGTTCTCCGAACGGCTTAGAAGGTTAACAACCGGTTCTAGCGAATAGGTGCGAACCTGTAGAATCCCACCCCTGCCTTTAACCAACAGGCTGAAGAGTCAAGCTGCATTCTCTATTTCATTCAATTTTCATTAGCGTACAATGGATCAATTTAATGGACATCTTAACTTGCATTAACAGAGGGATACAATCGAGATCAAAGGAGCCCTTCCCAATCAAATATAATTAAATGGATTACTCTTTCTCATGAAAAGGTAGAATTTGGTGCCTTGTTTTTTGGGCATCAGCTAGGTAAGCAGCATAAACTCAATGATTCTCAACTTTGGTCCCTTGAAGATGTCTAGAATTCAAGTCCCAGAATTCCCCAGAACAACGTCAGTTGTGGGTGCTGGAGGTTTTTTTTGTTTGTTTTTTAAAGAATTGGGGCTCCACCTATTCTCCAAAGCGGCTGAGGGCAGGATAAGAAGCAACAGATGGAAACTAATCAAGGAGAGAAGCAACCTGGGATTAAGGATGAATTTCCTGACAGGGAGAACAATTAATTGACGGAACAACCTGCCTCCAGACGTTTTCAAGAAGAGATTGGACATCTTAACTTGCATTAACGGAGGGATACAATCGAGATCAAGGGAGGTACTAATATCACTCTATAAAGCCCTAGTAAGGCCACACCTAGAGTCCTGCACCCAGTTTTGGTCACCATATTATAAAAAAGATGTTGAGACTCTGGAAAGAGTGCAGAGAAGAGCAACCAGGATGATGAGGGGACCAGGGGCTGAAACACACGATGAATGGTTGCAGGAACTGGGCCTGGCTAGTCTAGGGAAGAGAAGGACCAGGGGAGACAGGAGAGCAGCCTTCCGATATTTGAGGGGCTGCCACAAAGGAGAAGGGGTCAATTTATTTCCAAAAACATCAGAAAGCAGACGAGAAACAATGGATGGAAACTAATCAAGGAGAGAACCAACCTGGAATTAAGGAGAAACTTTCTAACAGCGAGGGCAATTCACCAGTGGAACGGCTTGCCACCAGAAGTTATGGATGCTCCATCACTGGAGGCTTTTAAGAAGAGACTGGACAAGCCGGGCTTCCGGTTTGAGCTTCTTCAGCGACAGACCGAAACCTCGTCTCTGCGAGGCTTCGATCCGTGCTCGCCGCTGGAGCGCCCCGAGCCGGCTGGTTTCAGGGCTAAGCCACCTCGTAGAGGTGGTGAAGAGGGGGGAGACTGCCAGCAGGGTTGAGGAGAGCCACATCTCTCCTCCCCAGCTGGCCATTACTCCCTTTCCCAAAGGCGGTTGCAGCGGTGGTCAGAAATGGCCACCACAAAGAAGAACTCGACCGAGAAAGAATGTGCAGGAGGAAGATAAGAAGAGAACGTTTTGGTTGAAACAGCAAACAGCAAAAGCAACAAATAAGGTACCCTGGAATTGAAACTATTAAAAAACTTGTTCCCTAAGAAGAAGAGACTGGACAAGCCATTTGTCTGAAATGGTATAGACTAGAGCAGGGGTGGCCAACCTTTTGGACCTCAGGGACCACCAAAGTCATAATTTTAAATCCCAGGGACCACTAACCGGTTCTGTGGGCATGGCCTATTGTGGGTGTGGCTTGGTGGTCATGTGACTGGCTGGGCATGGCTTGTATGTAAATATTATAAATATTGATATAAATATTGATTTTTTTTATAAAAAAGAGCAACTTTTACCCAAAATCAGACAAAGCAGGCAGGCAAATTGATTTGCTCACAGACCCATTCAGTGATCTATCTATCTGCCATCAGCTAGCTCAGTCTGTCCCATAAAATTTGCTTGCCGTGAGTCTGCACTGAATAATAGAATAATAGAATAATCAGTCCTAAGGGAGGTTCGGCTGTACTTAAAAGCAGAGCCAAAGATCTAAAGACTGGCTAGAAAGCAAGAAATCCAACCATTTCCTGCTTCCTAGCTAATCTAAATCTCCTGGCACAGCAGAACAGCTGATGGTCGGGAAAATAGCAATTTAGCAGCCTTGTGTTTCTGCGCAGCCTGGATTAATTGCTTTGAGGGGTGATCTGGTAGTGAGATTTCTCTGCGGCCCACCAGTAGGCCCTGGCCCACCAGTTGGTGATCACTGGACTAGAGAGAGTCCTACTTGAGCAAGGGGTTCGACTAGAAGACCTTCAAGGTCCCTTTCCTGCTCTGTTATTAGGAATCCTTGAAAAAACACCGTACCCCCTGAGTGGGACAAGCTGGCATGAAAACTCTTTCTTGCAGAATCATGGGATTTATTCTGTTATTCTCCCTCGGAAGCTGAGTTGTGGGAACTGAGTTCCGATCCTCCCTGTCTCTCATTCCCTCCCCAGCCATTAATTCAGGCCAACCCTGTCGGTCTGGAGCAGCCTTAATAGACTTCGGGCCCCTGCTGGCTGCGTCAGCCACTTCAACTCACCTCCGGCGCACGGAGATTAAAATAATAATTCAGCCTTGAAAGGGGTCGGTTCCTTCATTAACACCGCTGGCTTTAATTAAGGCAAGGTGAAATATTAATGGCTTTGATAAACTGCAGCTGCCCAGCGTGATTAAAAGATTCCCTCGCCCGGGATGGGTTGGGAGCTCCTTCTGGGGTGCCTGATGAATGACAAGTGGGAAAGGGGGGGTCAGAAGCCCACCCCTCGCCTCCCAGCCTGGTTCGGAAGAAGTGGGGCTAGAAGGGGTCCCCCCAAGGATCAGTTTGCCTGAAATTCAGGGGTTCAGAAAGCAGCTGTAAATGGGCTTTGCTTTGGCAAGTGAGTTGTCTGGACTCCGTGCCAGCCGTTCTGCGAGCAGAAGGAATTTCAGGTAGACCTCAAGTTACAACCATTAGAATAGAATAGAATAGAATAGAATAGAATAGAATAGAATAGAATA